GACCGAGGGTTACCATAAAAAGACACAAGCCTTGCTTAAAAAATGCTGTTTAACTACATATCATTTCTTACAATGGTATGATGTAAACGTTCCCGTAGATCCCCGTTATGATAAAACTGGGATATACCGTATCTTTTTACTGCTGAAATCCCAGCCTCGCAAACATAAATATTTCCAATTAGTGGCTCTACCCTAAACTATAGTGATTTAAGGCTACCTAACTTAATTTAATTCCATACTTATTTTCATGTTTTTCCTGAGACAATAGTGAAAATGCGAGTTAAATTTATAGGAAAGCAATAAAAAATAGTAAAGCCAGAGGTTTCTTCAACCCTCATGTAATGTTTGCAAACTTTTATTTTGTGACCGGAATAATGAAAAGGCTATTTTAAAAAATCGTTCGTCTGAAACGAACAGTAAACGTAAGTGGGAGCATCTCATTAAAGGCTGGAGATTTCCTTAAAAAATATTCATACTCGTGGCCGCGTATTTCCAAATTAAGGTAGTAATTTAAGCGTTATAAAACGCAATCTCCAGAATACTTACAATTTTCACACAGGTGCCTTTAAACTGTGTTTTCAGTTCTTTAATGCGATTCCCCAGCATTTTGACCCGCCTGGAAAGCCTGTCCCTTGGTTGCGCATTTATTTCTGTACGTTGATCTTATTTATACTCCGCAGCAGTATACGGGCAGCGAATATGTTTTTTTCCCCAGTTTTAAAACGAGACCTGAGGCTGCGGAGACACCGGACGGCACAGACTGCCAGGCCGAGGGTCTCGGTGCAGTGCGGATGGAAAAGCCGGTAGCCGCCGCGCAGGGGATGATGCGCGGTTGCCGGCGGACCGTGCGCCCCGTCGGAGGACGGGTCGGGCAGGCCCCGACCCTTTCACCTCCTCGGTGCGTGGTCACCCCGTGGAGTGCTGAAGTGGAATCAAAACGTGGCACACCGCACCGACTAACTCGACTCACGGCGGCTGTTTGAGGGCCGCCGTCGCGCCCCCGTGGCCGTGCTCCTGGCAGATTGGGTTCGGCTTCGGGGAGACCCGCGATAGCTACAGCGGTCTGTGTTAACCGGGTCACCGACAAACGGCGCTGTGATCGGTGAGGGGCTACCCTCACTTCCCCTGCCCGGTTCCGTTTTCTCGGGTCTAGATCTAGGAGCACGAACCAGGATGCTGTACGCACCCCAATCCTGGAGGCTAGGGCCGGGTCGGCTCTCTCGGCCCCTTACTTTTGGGAGCCGCCAGTCAAGTTCGAGCCTGGGGAATCAGTCTCAGGTGTCAGGGAAACCGACCCCGCTCCTTCCAGTCCCAGCCCAGCCGCAGAGCTGAGCCCGTCGGGCGGTTTCACGGGTCGCGTGCCGGGAGCCGAGACCAGGGTAGCCAGGGCTCCGCGGGCCTGGGCCCGGAGCTGGATGAGCCGGGGCCGCCTGCGCCCCTCGCTGTGAGTTGCGTTCGTTACGCTCCCGCGGAGGGCGAAACACACGGGCAGGAACCGGCCCTTTCGTGGGAAAAAGCAGGCGATCCCCTCCGCGGCTCTGGGGGGCTGTTTCTGTCTTATGCCACTTCCTCCGCCAGGCTACAGACCGCCTGGAAGCGGCGACAGAAGCATGGCTGGAGGGGCCCCGGCAGAGCGGGACAGGAGGGCTGTAATACCCCGCCGTGGCCATGGGGGCTGAAAGGGGCTTCCCTGCCTCTTTCAAATTAAGCCACACTTAACCTTCTCTCGAGCCTGTTTTGAATGTGATCTGTGTCTCGGGGAGAGTCGCTCCAGGCTTGCTGTGCACCCTGCTATAGGAAAGTTGGAAGTAACAAGTCACAGTCAGGACCCTCGGTCCTCCCTCTAAGCCGCAACCGCAAAGAGCAAGGAAGAGAGGCAGTGGCGTAGGTGCACGCGGGATGCACAGAAACAGGGTTTACATGCGATTTTCTCACCGGCATCTGTAATTTTGCTCCCGTTGATAATGTTTCATTGACTAGTCTCCGTCAGCTACCTGCTGCCTTCAGCTGTGCACACCACGCATCCTTAGGGTGAAGCGATCAGGCTCACTGTGAGGGTTGAGGGGGTGTGAAGCGGAAAATGATATAAATACGTTTTCTCTAGTGACCGCTTCTATGGTTCCCTGCTGGGAAGTTACAGAAAACCGTGTCTTTGAAGAGAAATGGACCCTGTGGATATTTTACTCTCTGATGGTACCCGGCTTTAATGTTGAAAAAGATTTTCAGAAATCATACTGTGAATGGGAAGCACGGCCATAACCATGCCCTGAGATTTGCGACGGGAGCGCAGGAAAATGTCTTTCTGGTGGAAAACGGTTTAAATATTGATTTTTTTTTTTTACCCCCAGGAAGCCTAAATATGCGCCTCGAACAACTGCCTAAAAACCCGGACTGCATTTTAAAGTCCGGAAATAAAAGTAACTCCAGAAAGGTGTTTCGGATGTATATATTATTCCATTAGCAGATCACTATATATAGAGAGTCTTCTCTCTTTCATCATCCCATAAAAAATTAATCGGACAGACATATGGATCACAGGTTGTTCGATAAATTTAAATCCACGCAGTTGTTTCAAAAAGTCAAAAAATGAAAACAACATGCCACATACCAACCTACAGAAATCTGGCAAGGGCGGGGGGGGGGGAATAATTCAACAACAACAAGAAGCACCCACCCTCCCGCAGCAGAAATAATCCGGGCCATTTGTCCATCCGCAGGACGGACCTGCTGCGCACCCCGCGGAGCGGTGCGGAGCAAGGGTTCAGCGTCTCCTCCGCGGGAAAGAGCGGCGGTCGGCTGCAGAAGGAGGGAAAGGGATAAAAACTGGGCAGGACGCGCAGCCCTGTGCCAGAGGCTTCTCCGGGACCCCGTCGCTCCGGCCCCGTCACCACTGGCGCGGCAAGCTGCGCTGCCCCGCGGAGGGCCCGGCGGCGGCGGGGGGCAGGTCGTCCTCCCCGGCGGATCCAGGCAGCCGCCTCTGGGCCGACCCCGCTCCGCCGGCAGCGCAGCCTCGGCCTAGAGCCCCGCGCCCCCCGCGGGCGCCCCCTCCTCCGCCTCCCCCCGCGTTCCTCCGCGCCTCCCCGGGCCAACGTGGAGGGGGTCGGTACCTGCTCCCGCGGGCACCGCCGGAGCCGTCGCACCGGTGGCGATGGCACGGGTGGCCCGGCGGCAGAGGGCGGCCGGAGCGCGGCCGCGGAAGTTGCCGTCGGAGATGGGCGGGCGGCGAGGCTGCCGGAGCGCCCTCGGACAGATACCATCCATTTCCTTCCTTCCTTCCTCTCCCTATCGATCTCATCCCCACCGCGGCGGCGTTTAAACTCCTGCACGATCCTCTAGCTTAGCACGTTTCGATCACTCTCGCACATCTGATTTCCTTCAGGTTCAATCACGGCTGAACAGGCAGAGCAGACAGACTTTAGACCACGGAACAGTTAATATGTCCCAGATTTAATGTAAAGATAAACTAGCTCCACAGCAGTGTTCGTCGGTGACAGGCATCAGGCATTTTCTGCTCTCCTATCGATTCAGAACGACAGCCACTGCAGGGGAAGTTTTTTCGTAGTGACGAATTTTTCTCAGACAAATTACCATCTCTTCCAATGTGGAGAGAGTTAGTGCTCCTCTGGCGGGTGCGCTTTTTTATTATTTTTTTTTATTTTTTTTTCTTTCTGTTTTCTTTTTTTGTTGTTTTGGGGGTTTTTGTTTTTTGGGTGTTTTTTTTTTCCTCTCCTCTTCCACCAGTTATCTCTTTGTCACATACCTATATTTTACGCCTGGAAACCACATCTAAGTTTTAACCCCGATAACCTTACCTGCAGGGATAGTTTATCTCTAGGGTGTATTTATTAATCAGTCCATTTCTCAGTTTCTCTGACGAAGCAGCCATTGAAAGGAAGAATATATTTGCATTTTAGGGATAGGTAAATTCCGCTAGTGGAAACGGTTACGTCTCCTAAATGGCAGCTATTTCCTCTTTAGATTACGATCAGAAATCTCAGCTGTGCCACTCGACAGGGACCTCCGAAGCTGTAACACAGACGGCGCACACCACCAATTTCTCTCATGTCTGTTACCCTAAACAGAGATCCCATTTCCCGAAACCGTGAAAATTGCCTCATGACTTTTTTTTTGCAGAAGGAAGATTTCTATTGTTTCCTTCAACAGAACATGTTACCCCATTTAGTTCTGCGAAAAAAAGTGGGGGTGGGTTGAGGGGGAAGTATATAACGTAACAAAAGAAAAATGAAAAAAGAAGAAAGCACAACAAAAATCTCAATAGCTTTTAAATTTCTCTGGGCATGCAAAGAAAAGAGTATCTGGCTCCAACTCTTCAATAGTTTTACTCACTGGAAAGATACGAAAGTATTTTCCCAGTAACTATTCTATGCACCTGAATATGATTATTATTAAGGTTGCTGCGGGTGGATGTATGGATGTTCATACAAGGTTCGGTTTAATTCTGTTTTTATTGCCGCTTCAGCGCCTAATTGGCTGGGTTTGGAGAGAGCTATGAGCGTGGCTGAACCCCCTCCGCAGCCGGTGCTTGAATAACGACAACACGACGAATCTCCGAGTGCAATAGCTAAACACAACTGATAATTACTGATCCCTAACAGCAAGGAAGGGCATAACGTCATTTTGTTTAAAAGTCAGAACGGTTTCCCCGACCGAAACGCAGCTCCCCGGGAGGGCTTCCCGTTCTCTCTGCGTTCTGGAGTGATCTGGGGCTCCCGGCCAGCCCGGTCCCAGAGGGAGGTGGGGTGTCCCCATTAACATTTATTGCGGGGCGCATCTGCCGGGGGGCGCGGGGCTGTTTCGGACCGGGACTGCGCGGGACAGCGGAGCTCCCCCCTCTTCCCGGTCGCCCGTGAGCCGCGGCGGGGGCCCCCAGGTATGGCGGCGGGGCCGGAGCCCCGGGGCCGGGGCGGCGCTGATTGGGCTGCGGGCGGCGGGGCCGCGTCAGCCCCCGCCCCGCGGCTCCGCCCGGCCCCCGCCGCCGCAGTGACACTAATGAGCGAGTTCTTCCCACCGGTCTCCTGCCTGGAAGTGCTGACAGATCAAGGCAACAAATTTCAATTACAAGCCCTAATTTGTGTCCGCAGAGCGTTTGTTACCCATGTCAGTCCTGCCTGGCCCATCAGAAGGGGCAGAACGCGGAGGAGGAGGAGGGGGAGAGAAGAAGCGCATCTGCAGAAAGAAGTAGATTTTTTTTCCTCTAAAAAAAGCCAACCCAAATCGACTCTCCCCCCCCCCCCCCAAAAAAAAAAAAAAAAAAAGCAAAACAAAACAACAACTTGGCTGATAACTCGGATTTAAAAAGAAAGGCGAGGAAAAGCCCCAGCCCCTTGCCGGCGCGGTCGGGAGGACGGGCGGGCGGCCGGGTGCGGTGCCGGCGCCGACGACCGCGGCGCGCCTGGATGCGCGGGCTGTAGGGGGGCGGGCATGGCCGACAAGCGGCGGTCCTCGCCCGGCACCACCATGAGCCTCAAGGCTCACGCCTTCTCCGTGGAGGCGCTCATCGGGGCCGAGAAGCAGCAGCCGCCGCCGCCACCACCGCCGCGGCAGCCGAAGCGGAGGAAGCTGGGCGGCGAGGACGAGGCGGCGGAGGACGAAGGGGGAAGCGGCTGCTGCGCCAAGAGCTCCCCGGCTGCTGCCGGCAGCAGGACCTGCGGCGACATGGAGCTGGGCTGCTCCGTCCGCGCCCCCGCCGGTGAGTGCCACCCCGCTCCCCGCCGCCGCGGGTGCCTGCTGTCCCGCTGCCGGGCGGGAGGCCCGTTCCCTCAGCTCAACGCCGGCTTCCCCGCTATTCTCTCTATCCTGCCGCACGGCGTGAGCACCCCATCCCCACCACCGGCGATGCCGGTTGAACTGCTGGCGCATCCCGGGGCCCCGGGGGAGGGAGCGGGCGGGTGCCGGCGGGTGGTCCATGCCGCAGCGCGGTGGAGCAACAGCTGGGGCTTGTTGCCGAGGAAGGGGAGAAGCGCTTCTACACTGCATATAAGTCGTGCAACTGTGTGTGTATATATGTATGTATAGCTCATGTATGTATATGTGAGTCCGTAATTTACTGCACACGGGCGGGGGTGCATCTCCAGCGGCGGGGCAGAAGGCCGCGGCCGCCAGCGGTCACACTAATCGCTCCCCAACGAAATGCGCTGCCGGCCTCGCACCACCGACCCGCCGCTTCGGCACGGCCCGGGACGGCGGTGTGCCCGGAACGGCCCGGCGGAGCTCTGGGGTCTGCTTGCCGCTGTGCTCCCTCGTTGGGGAGCCCCTCTCGCCCCCCGGCTGTCCCGGCGCGGCCGCCCTGTACGTGGGTAGCCCCCAGTCCCGCTTCGCAAGGCCGCGGCCCAGGCCCGGGGTCGGCGCAGCCCGTTTCCTGGGAGCGGTGGCGGGTCGGCGGGGTACGGCTGGTGTTGAGGAACCCCCCCGGTAGGGAGGTCCGCGCTGCCCCTGCCTCTCTCGCTTCCTCCGCTGTCTCCGCAGGCGGCTGCGAGGAGGGCTTCCCAGCGGCCTCCCCACCCGCCTCCCCCGGCGGCTCCCCGAAGGGCTCGAGGCCCGGATCGCCGCTGGCCGCACCGCAGGCGCCGCGGGTGGACCTGCAGGGCGCCGAGCTCTGGAAGCGCTTCCACGAGATCGGCACCGAGATGATCATCACCAAGGCGGGAAGGTAACGGGCACCCGCGGGAGTTCTCCCGGGGCGGGCAGGCACATGGAAGCGTGCAGAAACCCGGGGGACCCTCCAGATTTAGGAGGTGGTAATGTTAAACGGGCACCGGGGGCATTCGGCGTTCCTGGTTTCATGTTCGTTTGGGCGAGCTCTGGGAGCGCGGCGTCCTTCTGAGGGGAAACTTTTCCCCTTCCCAATGGATACACATGGTAAAAACCTGGGCAGCATAAAAGTATCTGAACTTATTAGAAATTACAAAAACATATTTTATTGAATCCATATGCTGCTCTCTGCGTTCTCAGAGAGGCTTTATTAATGATTGAAACGCAGTCTTAAACAGCACAAAGCAACATTTGTCTTATGAGAGTCCAGTCGGGGAATTTCTGTTTTATCTTACAGGTGCACTGAAATAACAGCGAGAACTAGTTACCCGCAGTCGGCTTTGACACCCCCCCCCCCCCCCTTTGTTTAGAAATGACGGAGATGGGTTTTTTTCTTCCCAGTAACGACTTTTAATTTATATGTGTATTTTTTATCTTCTTTCTTTTTTTTTTTTTTTTTTTTTTCTAGAGCAGCAGCAAATAATAAACTGGAATGGTTTTCAAGATTTATAAAATACAGAGAAATACCTTTCATTAGCTTGCAGTTAGCTCATAACTAGGACATTTCTTGGATTTTTTTTTTTTTTTTGGCTTCAGGAATTTACTTTCCTGAAAAAAGCCATGCCGAACGTCAGCTAAGAAGCCCATTTTGATGTCGAACCTACTGCATCAGTTAATTCCTCCGTTTTCCCTGCAGAAAATATAAACCTTGAACGTTTGTTGTTGGTTGTTTTTTTTTTTTCTTTCCTTTTCTTTTAAGAAATTACCTCGTAGATTCGTTTCTGCTTTCAATAAAGAAGTTTTACTATACCTTTCAAAGACAGAGTAGCTCTTGCACTTCACCTTTAGTAAGTTGCAGACAGGAAGTCCTGTCTCAATAAAGACCATATTGTTGGGTTGCAGCATGGCACGCTGCCTTTTATAACTGCATCCTTGCAAGGCTAGAATCATATCACCGTGGGTTTGGCTTTCTCTTTTGCTGCTCTAGAAACGATAACACCTCTTGCAGCTGCCACTTGAAACTTCAGTGGCAGTTTGCATTTCTGTAACTATTGGTTTGCCTGGGTGGAGATGGTATTTGCACATCTCCAGAAATAGATTTTTAAGCAATATCTCAAACTGGCTTTAAATGAGCATACTGCTAAAGTCAAGTCTCAAACCCAAGTGATTTACTGTCTAACAATAAAGTTGAAATGATGTGGTAATAGCTGTACTCCCAAAGCGTATCCCAAACATACGAAGCATTGTTCGAGTAAATGCACTTTAGAAATCTGTTTTGACATATCGAATGGGCCATTTCATGGCCATGTAACTATAATCGTCCAAAAGGACTCTCTAGGCTAAAAGGAAGAACGAGAAAAATCCCACCAAGCGGTTACTTTTCCTAAACAACCAGTCCCGAGTCTGTTTCATATTAAAAATGACCTCTCTCTTTCCATGTTCAGGCGGATGTTTCCCGCAATGAGAGTGAAGATCTCAGGTTTAGACCCACATCAGCAATATTACATTGCTATGGATATTGTGCCAGTGGATAACAAAAGATACAGGTACGGTGAGTTTAAGGCAAAACCCATACCATGCAAGCCATAGGGAGTTTGGCTGTTGAAGACAGCATTAACACTATATAAATTAGCAAAGGTCATGTTTAATTCTCCTTCAGATTCTTATTTTCATCCCAGGGAATTAAAATAAAAAATAAAATCTTACAAAGTATGCAAAGCCAACTAAAATTTCTCTTACAGCTCTTTATATGCTTAACTGATGTGTGTGTACTATGGGCAGATGCTCAGGTTTTGGCTTTCAGAGAATACAGTTATGGTGCGGTCAGGAAATATTTTCATTTTTTATTCCTCATCACGCCAGTGGGAGTTATTTTTAGTTAACAAATAAATACAAAAAGGCACATTTATCTAGCACTAAACAACATTAATAACGTTAATGGGAATTATGTCTGATTTAATGACATACAAGTTTTCTTCCTCGTTTCAAATTGGCTATATAATTTAATTTAAAAGCTGGTTATCACTCCTATGTTTTGGTTGCTTAGATTCACAAAGGGTGATACTTCTAATTACTGTATTTTAAAGAATTAATGGCATTATTGTCTGGAGGATAATGTGAGGAGCAAACGTATTTGTTCTTCAAATATTTAAGAACAGGAATTATGTGCTGAAACTCTCACTGTTTTGAAGGCAATCATGTTTCAACTCTTGCTGCAGCCACTGGACCTGTAGAAATGTTTGCAGGAGTGGGCCCACAGCAGTTATTGGATTGAGTTGTGGATTTTTGGTAGGTCTTGAGTTGAGGATGCAGTCCCACGCTCCATAGGAGCCAAGAAAAGCCTGGCCAAGTAGTTCAGTGGAGGAAGAATCAGGTCCTCACAAATTGCTGGTTTGATTGTTTCAACCCTATACTTAGTATAATGTAGGGAAAACCGCTGTGGATTTAACTGCAGAACGAGGAATATAACAGACTAAGACTTAAAGGTTGGTTCTGCAGGAATGCTGCCTTCTTTCCTAAGCAAACACTGCTTGATGGTTTTTATGTGTCCTTACCTCATTGACCACAATTTTGTCCTTTTCTCGTGTTGTATATAAGATATTTCTTAGGACCATTTTAGATGTTGTGGCTTTCGGCAAGGTGCAGATACCAGTGCTGATAATGTCTGGTGCATACAGTTAAAGGAGGCACTCTGACTGCACTGTGGAGAAAAAATGTTTTTTCCTTTAGAACAGCGCAGTGCAGCTCTAACGAGAGCCCTCCTGTAGCTTTGTGTTGTACATGTGTGTTTCCTTAGTAATCTAAAGATGTAATTCCTAGAAGGTCTGAGCAATTCCTTAATTCTCAGAAAAAGCAAGGTAATTATCCCAAATTGAATAAAAATGTTAACATTAAAAATTAAAACCAGGTATACTGAATATGAGTTCTTTAAACCTCACTAGATTTAAAATACAGTCATGCTGAGCTGCGCTGTCTGCTTAGTATGGTACGTGGTGCCCAGATAACTGAAGTAACTGAACACTAGCTGTATGAAAGGCAGTAATTTTTCAGTGGCAAACTTAAACTTCTCTAATCATGATTAGTTCCACAGCTTTACTCTTCCCACTAAATATTGATGCTTTATGTGTTTTACTTGTTGCCAATTTTCGCTTTTTGCTGCGCAGTCTGTTGGGTTTTTTAAATATTTTTTGTTTTTTACTGCTGAATGTAACTTCAGCTTTGTAACTTCAGCTGTTGATGTGGCTTCACAGACTGTCTTGCAGATCTTTAAAGTTGAAAGGTACAACAGCAGTCACATGGAGCCTGGTCTTCAGCTGTCATAATGGATAGCAAAACTGTGTGGAAATGAAGAAAATTACATGTAGATTTCTAGCAAAATTGGAACCTGTAAATATTTGGAAGCTTAAACTGTGGCGCTTGAGCTGTCGGGCTAAAGCTCAAAATATTTTATATATATCTATGACATTATTTACTTCTGTAGGGAATGCATGTATTTTGTATAGACCACAAATATAAAATAAATGAAAAATGTTACATCAGTTGACTGTGTGACCTTGGGTTGTGAATTTGTCTCCAGGAGAGAATTTCACCACTATTCCACATCTTAGTTTTACAGGTCGATATAAATTGTACAGAGTGATGCATGTATTGGATCATTTTGTTTTCATTTCCAATGATGTTGTTAGTCTTTTTCTAGTAAGGAACTGAATTATACGAACATATGATCTGATAAAGTCGGTCTTTTTTTATTGAAAAATACAGCTGAAGTACTGAAATTTTACTGTACTTGAAAAAAATACCTTGAAGTTTTCAATTAGTGCTTTTTAAGTTGCCCTGTTAAGTATCTGCCTTCAAAATAAGTTTTCTACTGAAGCAGGCACTATTTTTATTAGAAAATGAGTTTGTCAGCGTTGACCTAGCAAATGAAATATGGGCTGTGTTTTTTTCATTTTTAAGCCTTTCTGCAGTACTATTTGAGACAATTAATATGGTCTTGCAGAAACAGCAAGAGCATAGTTTGACATAGTTTCATTATTTTTTTCAATCATAATATTCTTTTGCTTCAATAGCTTTATTTATAGACTCTTCTATTAGACTCAACATGTTAAATCTCCCAAATATAGAATTACTACTCTTAGTTGATAAATGAAGGACTGGAGTCTTTGCTGTTTGCTGATGATGCCTATTCAGAGCACAGCTGTAGCAGTCAGTGAACTGACACCAGCTTAGAGCTCAGTGTGGATGATAGTGTTAAGACTGTTACTGGTATTAAGAAAACTAAGGTCCGATCAGAGCATGGGTTTTAGCCTTACTTTTGCAGATAACAGAACTATGTCTTGAAACTACAAAAACCCCCAAATTTATTGTTCTTTCGTGTTTTATTAATTGCTGGGTTCTTGCTGTATGAATAGGCCCTAAATTATTAATATGGAATGGGTCTGCTAAATTGTTTTGAGATTTGGGGTTACAGGTATTTGTTTTCTTTTTATAGGTATGTTTATCATAGCTCCAAGTGGATGGTGGCTGGTAATGCTGACTCCCCAGTACCCCCTCGTGTTTATATTCACCCTGATTCACCTGCCTCCGGGGAGACGTGGATGAGACAAGTGATCAGCTTTGACAAACTGAAGCTTACCAATAATGAGCTGGATGATCAAGGGCATGTGAGTACTTTCTCTTCTGCAGTATTATATGTAGGCGCATTGCTCAGCCCTAACTCTGACATACAGCTACAGGGTGCCAGAAATAAGCTTGACTTTTCAAAGCTGTTTTGGAACTTTACCATGCAGATCTAAAATCTGCTTACTTTCTGCTCTGATAATTAACTGCTTATTAGAGCCTGCTGTTTTACTCCCCCCTCAGAAACAGAACTCCTTCTGCAAAGTAAGAGTTTACAAGGGTAAATTGCCTAATAGGAAGGGGCAGAATTGCTCTCATGTTTTCCCACCGAGCGTGTTAGTTGCGACTTCTGCTTCAAGCAAAAAGGACGCTTAAATTCACAAGTGGCTAGAAGAAACATTAATAGTGTGTAATAACTTCACGTGAATAAAAATACACTTAACTGTTTTCTTAACCTAAACATTTGTGTGAAATCCCATGAGGTGTTAATAATTGCAGTCAAAAACGAACAACATGGGAGCTGGGTTCGCTCTGATAATGATTTATTACATACCTTATGAAGCAAGACCCTTTCACAGCTGAGGCTCATTACTTTGGAAAAAACTGGCGAAGATGTATGCAGTATGAGTGTTCTGTTTGCAAGTTCTAAATTGTTTAGTTATGACATTATCTAATGTGACAAAATGTGTTATGTTAATATTTCCTTTTCTGTTCAAAACTGTTGAAACATGACAGATGTAAGCCAGTATCTTTCCAGCAATCCCCAGAATAGTTTTACTCAACACCTTAGGAAATAATTAAAAAATGAGAATTGTTTTTAGTCAGACTGAAGTCTTTAATTTTGCAAAATCCTGTAATAAAGGGCAAATGTTTGCCTCCTTTTAGAAGGAGAAACAAATTCCAAGTGGTAGAGTTTTAAGACGTTGGAGGCAAGTTTTGAGACAGGATGTGGATTCCATTGTCCTTAGCGTAGCCTGATTTAACCAGGATACTTTCCCCTTTGTGGAAAGGAGTGAAAAAAAAAACATACCTGGCACAGAGCACAGAGATACTACATCCATTTTTCAGTGTAGTTGTAATTCTGTGACATTAAGCCATGTATTTTGTCAATATGTAGTCCAAGTTTGAGATATTTTTTTCTCCTTCGCTTGTGTTTGCAAAGGATATTAACATGAGACTCCGGTCAAGTTGTGCAGGAGCTACAACTTTTAAGTTACAGCAGCAGGAATAGAGGAGACTGGCTGAACTGAGCTAACAAATGAGATAACGGGGATAAGAAGTCTCTCTTTCGTGTAATACTGTTCACAGTTTTATTGTGTTCTTCCTTAAAAAAAACATGGGGGTATTTACATACCTTAAGTTCGTTTTTCTTTAGGCTTGTAAGAAAGACTTTTTATACAATTTCTTTCCAGAATTACAGTTACAGGGTCTTACTTGGCAGCATCTGTTCAGCTTAAGGTTAGCACACGTAGTTCCCTTAGTTTCTCCACAATTCATTTATTTGAGACTCTTCTTGGGTGGGAGTTGCTTTCTCTGAGTCCTGAGTCTATTGTAAGGGCTTTGAAAAGTGAAGCAGATGCAAATGGGTAAAATGTCACTTTTCCAACATAGACCAGGCCAGCTGATTTTTGTATTCATTGCAGAGGGACGATATGTGGCTACTGCGGTCCACCCATGCACTTGCAGTCCCAAACTGCTCTGTGATAAAATTTCAGCTATGTAGAGAATGGTATTGCTGTGTTTTTTCCATCCCAGATCTTAGCTTTGTTTTCATTCTGAACTGAAACCTGTGTAGTGTACACAGCACACCATTATTTAATAATGTGGGGGGATATAAATTTTCTGGTCTTTAGTTAAGTGTTTCGATTTGGAAACTAGTGATGCTAAGCCCTAGTACAATGATTTGAGACACATTGAACTGATTCAGAGCTACAGCAGTGCCCCTCTTCCCCAGAATGGAAATTTAAGTATTAAAATAAAAGGACAAAAGAAGGAGGACTGTAAAATAATTTCATATTTCTCAGATCTTGGAAATTGCAAACATGTCATTCAAAATTACCAGAAAAGGCAAAAGCAGAAAACAGAAAAGTGTCTCTTCCAATGGGTACATTTTTTCTTTTAAAGCTATGGTAGTGTGGAATGCTGTATTGAAAGAGCTATGTAGCCTCTGAATGCCTCTAGCAATAATGGAAAATGAATAATCATATTTTGCGATGAATATAAAGAAACCCAATTGTTTCTCATAAGCAGGAAGGAACCATTTTTCTCAAGAGGGTACCAGGGAAGGGATGAGGGATTAGAAGAGCAAGGGGTCAAGGCTGTACCTCGAATATTAGCTTTTACATCAAGTATTCTGACTCTCCCACCCTGTATGGGTGATGGAGTGTATTTTAGGTTATTAGGAAGTAGGTTTTGTCATCTTCTTCCACTTAGGCAGAGCGGCTCAGAGAAACCTCGGTGGGGTCTCTGCACTTTGCCGTCACTCCTCCAGTAGGGCTTTAGCTGTTCTTGGGGTGTGCTTTCTGTTCTGTCTGGTTCTGGGGCTTTAATCCATGTTGAAATTGTTCCTTTATTCTTCCTGTGCTCCTCAAACATGATAGGTTTTGCAGAATTTTTGTGTTAAAATCCCAGGGCTAGGTTTTGATCTTGCAGGCACTGAGGTAAGGAGCTCACAGAGAGCTCCACGGGAGCCCTTTTACCTGTTTGATGATTCGGTTCCTGAGTACTAACTTTCAGAATCGGTGAGAGAAGTGACCCATGTTCATGGGAATGGGGACAGTATTTGCAAATAGACATTAAGGTAGTATTTCTGTGCAGTGTTTATACTGTGATAGTAGTTCATGGCAGCCAGCTCCCCTTGCGTTGCATTGCCCTGGGATTAGCTTCTGGTGAAAGGAGATCAGTCATCTCCAAGATGACTTTTTTTGCTGCTTGAATGCTTTCTGGGCTCCTTGCTGCCTGCTGCTATTTTCATCAGTATTTTGAGTGGGAGTTTGTGACGATGTAATTTTAGAGAGCTGTTCTGCAGAGAGATTTTTGAAGTACATCTGCACGTAGGACACTCTCTGATACATGGGTTCCACTTGCAGGCTGAGGAGATCAAGCAAATTTTGTAAGGATATGTTTTCCTTGTGTGTGTTTGATCTCAAAAAGGAGTCTCAGGGTGAATTCCCTGCTTTGGAAAGATTGTGTGCTTATGAAGGCATTAAGACACATACTGTAGCATTTATGTCATTCATTTGAGTTGTGATGGTGAGGAAAAGTAAACCTGCATTTTGCAGTTGACACTGAGGAGTGAATGCTGTGGTCACTTTTTGTGAATGCCTCTCATTCCCCTCTCATCTGTGGAGTAAGTGCTGCATTATAAAAGCTGTCTTTCCCTCCAGCTGGTTAGAGCTGGCTGATTCTTCTGTTTCGATGCAGTTTTTAATCTGAATTTCAGCAGAGAGGAAAAGTCAGTATTTTTGATGCTGTTTTCCATGCTTGCCAACTAAGTATTTTTTGATGCAATAGAACATCTTTTAACTTTTAGTGAAAATGAGTCTGTTAGCCTGTTAATTGTTCCTTGGTGGTTGGGTATGGTTTTTTTTTTTTCCCATTTGAAAGTGGGGTGAGGCTGGAAGAAGAGGCGGACTGTTACTCTGCCCAGACTTGGGTCCAAGTAGAGAGCTTTGCTTACAGTCAATGGGTAGTTATATGTTTTTGTCACAATGAAAAGCTGGGAAACATCAGCATTTGCACTTGCAGTTTTTGTCTTTTATGAAGAGGGAATCTGTGCTTCTTAGCCCTACACGCTCCCCTAACTGCAGAAAGCAGGAATGCATGGGCTTTGCAGGGAGAGTAAAGAAGGATTTTGGGCAAAACCAGCACTGAGGTGAAGATCAGACTGGTGGTGGGGAGGTGACTTTGTGGTCCATGAGCTGCTGTGGGATTGGCATTTCCCCCATGAAAGAGTACTGGGCTCTTGCTTGTTCTGGCTGTGATGGCAGTGCTACAGCAGTGCCCAAGCTCAGGGTGAGCTCTGAGGTCTCATCACAGCAGCACCTCTGAAAAGCCATGGTTTGAAAGTGATCCCACCTCTGTGTGTCTGCAGGTACTTTGGCTGCCTTTGCTCTGTCAGGCTGTTGCCTTGCTCTGCTGGCCTACCTGTGCCTTTCATTGAGTAATGATGCTGTGGTCAAAGTGCTGTGATCAAAGTGTAATTTTACCTTTGGCAGGAGAGGTTTATTCCCGAACAAATGTTTTGGTCTTTTCCTGTTAGGGATTTGTAGAGAGAGGCAGGTTTTTCAACTGTGAGTTGAAGCTAATTCCAGTTAATGTTTGGTGGGACCTGTTGGGGGTTTTCTTTTGTTGGCTTCTAAGGGTAAAGGGGGAAAATTGCTGCTTCTGCAAATAAACTGTTCAATCCCATTTGTGCTGTGAAATGAGCAAGCACTACAGAATGAAAAGCCATGATCTCCTTTTCCTTAGCTTTTTCTTCACATAGTTTTAGGTGATGCTTAGAGTAATAGAACTAAACAGTTTTGGGAGAGGGTGTTGCATCTCCCTCTCCTTTTATGTCCTGTCTTCATAGTGTTGCTCTTTAATTCACCAGGGCTCTACGGTTATGTATTACTTATTTAGAATTCAGAGTCCTGATAGTTAACAAAGGTATTATTCTACAAGATGTGGTACAACATCAAGAAGCAAAAAACTCTTGCTATAGATCTGCTAATCATCTAGTGGTGTGTCAGTGCAAGAAATTTCAGTGTAGCACAGAGCCAAACCAGGTTGCTCTTAGGAGGTGAAAAGGATCAGTTTAGCTGTAATAGCCACCCAGATAAGGACCGGGAGGTGTTCATGTCTGTACTGCTGTGACTTCACTTGTTCTGATACATGAGCAGAGTTGCTTATAGCTGCTTGGGTTATCATTGTGTACCAGTTAAGTCCGCTGTGCAGGGAACTGATAGTTTGCACCACAGAGCTGATGGGGTGACATAATCTGTCTGGGAGCAGAACATGGCACGCTCAGTGGCAGCCAGGCAAATGGTAAGGCACAGAACAGAGGTGAGTTTGGACAGTGGAACAGAGTTTTCCTTGATCACTTTTCCTCCTGTTACACCAGTATATCCCCTGGTATCACTGGGTGTTCACAGGAAAACAGTGTCAGGAATGTGTTGTCCTCTCTGCATTTTCATTTTGTAGATCTTTGCCAGCAGAGAACTGAAAGGAGTTTTGTAAAAGGGAATACACATTTGCATGATAAAAATCTTGCTCTGTGCAAGATTTCAGAAACTGGGAAAAGGCTTCATATGAGAACATCCGTAGGGCACTCCCTGAGCAAATTAATTGGAGCCTGTGATGTCATTGTCAAAACCTTACTTACAGGTTAATAAACCCCGTGATTATACAGGAACTTGGCTTACCCATACTGGGGTCATGTCACCTGGCCAGCACCAGCTGTATTAAACTAGCCAAACTCTAGTTTATTCAAATGAATGTAATGTCCTCTATGTCATTTGGATGAATGAACTTTCACAGTGTCTGGCATAGGGGCTCTGTCGAGTGCCTGAGTATATGCACATTCTGAGGCTACTCAAGGAGCAGGAAATTAAAAAGCTTCTCCTGAATGTTGATTAGTGGTTCCACAGGCCAGTAGCCATAGACTATTTATTTATCAAGTTACTAATTTCTCAGGCCTTCCAACAATAATAGTTGAGCTTTCAATTATTATTTTTCCTTGAAGTCTTCTATTTTAGTAGTGGTTAGCTGAGGTGGAGTAAAACAGAGGAAACATTCTGTATTTTAAATCTCATCTAAAATTTCGGAGCAACACCAAGAGGTATTTTTGTGTATAATTTTATACACTGTGAGTTCATTTATAGTTTATTCTTAATTGAGTTTATGTATGCCTGGAAGAATTTGTGTATTGATACTCATTGCCTGTATTATAAATCTAGGGTTATTAACACTTTAGAGTTTTGGATTTAAGTATTATTTTACTCTAAGTTTCTGCGGCTTCAGAGTGTGAGAGTTTCAGCTTGTGTTTAGAACAGGGGACATTTCCAGGATATCTCTTTGGTATATCGAGAAAAAAAAAAAATGCTTCAAGCACATCCTGAAGGTTCCAAAACCATAAAGCAAATGCTGCTGCTGTTAATCCTGTTAAATCGAATCCAGGCTCCAGTGGAAAACAGTGACAAAACTTTACTAATTCCAGTGGGATCAGGACTTCACTCCTGATTTTTTTTTTTTTTTTCCTTTTGAGCCAGTCTCAATTGAGCCAGTCCCTGAATTTGGACCTCTTGAGTCGTAATTTTTAAATGCTTAGAGTTGGCAATAACATGAATGCACAGGGATTAGACTACTGTAATAAGAACCTTCAGAGGTTAAAGAAAACATCTGATTTCCAGTAAGTGGCATGGTAAACACATACCATAACCTGTTCCAAAAAGCTATTAGTCCTGAAACAGCAGGGTTTCCTTTCTAATAAGTGTTATCCCTTTTCTTTAATGACGGCATAGATTATCCTACACTCTATGCATAAATATCAGCCTCGTGTCCATGTCATCCGAAAAGACTGTGGAGATGATTTGTCGCCCGTCAAGCCTGTCCCTTCAGGAGAAGGGGTGAAAGCCTTCTCCTTTCCAGAGACAGTTTTCACTACTGTCACAGCATACCAAAATCAACAGGTAACTTTGACTTTCTGCTTAACACTTTATAGGCTTTTCAGAGTAGACCAGGGAAGTAAGAGGTAAAAAGTGAGAGATTCTCACTTTTAATGTGACATGCTCACCGAGTGGATACTTTTATTATACCACCTATTAAAAAGCATTGCCTAAACACTTTTTATGCTAGAAGTAGCTTTCACTAGTAGTATTGCAGCAGTGCCTGGAGGCTATAGCTGAGACTTGAGGCCATGTGGGCTAGATGCTGCATTGGAAAAGTCATTCTTGTTATGGGGATTGCACAGTCTAATACATAAACATAGTTCATAGTGTCTCAATTATAAATACAACATTGAAACACAAGGTGAAGAGCAGTCTAATTTTCAGAGGTGTTTTTTGTACCTTTAAGTGTGGATACATATCTGGATACAATTTTTAAAGCACCTTTGCTCCTGACTCCAGTGATTTCAAAACTCCCAGGAACTTAACAAAAAAGCTGAGGTCTAAAGAAAGTTGCAGTCAGCATTTTTTGTTAATTGCAGTTTATCTCGGTTCACAGAGATTCTAAGTCAAAAGTAAAATACAGGTTGTATCACTCCAGTCTTTGTCCCTTATTAGCTCTTGTTTAAGTACTAGCATACATAGTGACACCTTAGTTAGTTAGCATTGTGACATCTTATTAATTCCATGGAAGTAATTGCAGATGTATTTCAGGAAATATGCTGTCTTTACAAGGAGAACAGAGACATGTAAATACTGAAGTATAATTATTTGACACCTATCCCATTTATTTAATTAAATTACAAGTGCTGGAGGGGGGGGGTTGCTGTTTTTTTTTTTGTGGAGGATAATAGCCTAGAGATAATATCTCTTTCAGATTTCCGTCTTGACCTGTACAGAAATAAAAGTTAATATAATTTTATTGCAACTAAGCAGTGTACTATCTTATGTGAAGAAAGACATTTGCTAGAAGATCTCAACAATTCCAGCCTGCCATTCGGTAGCATTAAATACTTAGTTTCTCTGGGGATTTGCAGAAACAATGATGGGAAGGCTGGCCCTTATTCTGCTGTGTTTCAGGACAACCATCTTAAACCATGCAAATGTCAAGGTGCTTCTATTCCACTGCCAGCTTAATTCTGTCAAGAAAGTAATTTTGTGTATTATGTAGATGAATTTGCAGGTAATGATATCTCTACTCATCTTCACAGATAACTCGTCTGAAGATTGATAGGAATCCATTTGCCAAAGGCTTTAGAGATTCGGGACGTAACAGGTAGGTGCTGGGGAAAGAGGTGGCCTTGTTACTGCTGGCACAGTTGGTTTGTGAAGGCTGGTTGAGGGGAGCACCTGTGTTTACAGGCAGATCTGTCTGAGGACTTAGACTCCTTGAGGAAGTGCTTAGGCTTCCCAGTAACGTTCTCTGTGGTGGGCTCCTGCTCCTACTCCTCTGACCATCTAGGTCAAGAAGGGGTTGGCACTCAGCTTGACTCATGTACTCAAGTTTCCTTTTGGTGGCAGCGGCAGCATCCTGTGAAGGCTGCAAGTGAAATTAATACATACTCAGCTCTGTGATTTCAGGCTGCTTCTGAAATCTCCTCTTTCTCCTGGCTGGAGAGAGAAACTGCAGATACCAGTGTCAAACTGTAAGCCCAGATTCCCTTGCTTGTAAGTGGCATTTAGAATGGATGAATGGCTTGTTGTTTTCTCTTCAAGGGGAAGAAAGCAAGTTCTGTCATGCAGTAACCTTATGTTCAGTACACTTGTCTAGAAGCTGGGACACCTGTGTTCAAGTATCTCCTTAGACTAAGGAGTTTTAAATCCACTTCCTAGGTGAATGCCTTTCCTACGAGGCTATAGCTGGCCTTGAAATAAGCCTGGTTTCCACCTCTTCTATTGCAGTTGGACTGATTAATTGCTTGCTCTCTCTTGATTCATGAATCTTCCAATAGCAATGGGAATCTGAGTGTGCAAAGTGGAGACTTGCGTCTAGTCCCTGCTGGCAGCACTCATGAGCTATTTTATCCAAAGCCTGTTTAATGCAAAATACTTAAGCTTGTTATGAATTGTATGCTAAATCATTTCAGCTAAAAAAAGCAGCATTTAATTGTTGTACTTATTATACATCAGTTCCAGTGACCACATCATGTTTAGTGTCTACAGCTGCTATATTTATGACCTAGCTTTGCAGAGAAGGGAGCTGGTAGGAATGTTCAGAGAGTATCTTTTGGTAGCTGCTTTAATGATCTTCTCTTTTAGCAGAGACTGCAGCATTAAAGCCTGTTTTGTGCTTCCACCCGAGTTACATAAATGCTGAAACTAGACAGCAAATCAGAGTAGTTTTTTAGAGGATGAACAGTTATAGAAGGGGTGGGGTAGTTATAAAGATTTACAAGAATTCACTGTAAGTATCTTTTCAGATTGCACTCTGCATTTGCTGCTCCCTAGCAAGGATATCCAGAGAGGGTTTTTTGTTTGTCTGCTAGGAATAAGTTTGGTTTGGGCATTAGAAAAAAAGCAGGATATTTTAAGTGAGAGACAACGGATTAGATGTCCAGTCCTGTAGGAAGGGACAGCCTCTGTTACACTAAAAGCATTAAGACCTCATCTAAAGCCAGTTCTGAAATATTTTACAAACACACTGGTTATGGAAGTGACTCTGCAAACTCTTCTCTGTTGCAAATTGGTGTTGGGTTACTGCAGCCAGTATTGCTGTTTTATTTGATAGTCTCTGTGGTTCTAAATAAGCGTGTTTGGGAATGCAGCCCAGAGTTTTAATTGTTAAGCAGAATTAATTTTTAAATTTAAATTACAGGTTTTACTCATTTGATTTTTATTTTACTCTATTACAAAATACTGAAATTAAATGCTAAGATTCCATTTTCTTCATTGTTCTAGCTGGTATATTTATTACTGAGGCATTCTAGTCAGCAACAAAACTGGAAAAACAGTGCTGTGGTACCATTATATCCAACTTTTTAATGTTGCTTTAATTATGGCAGATACCTTACTCAGCACTGCTGCATGCACTAGTTCTGTTTAATTAAAAATATTCCCTTTCAGATCATTCTTGTTCAGTCCCACAGGCTATTTTACAGAAATCAGTAGCTTCACCTTTTAAAAGCATTCCCCGTGCATTTGCAAAGTGCAACAGAATTTATGTGCTGAGAATAGTTTCATTCTTCAGTTAGGCCTTAAGTTTGACCCTATAAAAACTTTTACTCGGGAAAGGACCAGAAATTTTCCCTTTAAATACTTCAGGAAAAACATAACTGTTTTCTTAAATAAACTTGGCCGTTTGATAGCATAAATTAGGGTGGTGATAAAATGTGGAAATTGTTCGAAGGCATCTTGTATAAATTATCGCCTTGGCTACACTCCTCCAGGAGGTAGCTTTTATCTCCACTTTAACTAGAAATGAAAATTCACCATTACTGCTGAAAATGAAGGCTATCTTTTTAGTCCAGGTTCAGCTAATAAATACTTTATAAATGTTTCCTGACATACATTTGTGATCCTGCTGGAAATGCAGTGGGTAAGAAGGAGTATCAGAAGAACATGTTGGTAGTTTCAGATGGGACTGTTTGCATAATTCGAGTTTACAGAGTGCTGCTGCTCAAAGGGAAGCACTTGTATTTGGTGTGTGCCTGATGCTGACACTTAACAAGCCTTTGGGCCCCAGGAGCCAAAAATAACAGCAAAATTATACCTCTGAGGTGCATTACTCATAAAATTATGTCAGAAAACAAACGAGCCTTTACCTTCAGGAAATAGAAATCTTTCTAAATACTGTCTGCCATGATTGTCTGCCCAGTTGTTTCTGTTTCTTCACAATGCTTTTGAAAGAAAATGACAGAAAATTCTTAGTTTCCAAAGGCACATAGTAATCAAGTCGCAACACAGTTTTATACATGTTCATAGCAAAAAGCTGAACACCCATGCTTGTAAGTGTGATTTTTCCCACTCATTGGTAAAACTGAGAATCCTGTTTTAATAGAAGTTGTTAGTGGATCACATTTGTTCCAGGCAGAAACAGGAGATCGTCCCTCTGGCAGTTAGAGCAGTTGCTCTTAAGGAAATGTCATACTAGGAAAACATCTAACATCATTTTAGCCAAGTCTCCCTGCTCAAACAACCCTCCCCAAAAGGCAAAAGCTGTTGAAATAGAGAGCCAGACTTGAGGAATTGTAAAACTCTTTGCCTGCTGCCAGCCCAGCAGCTGCAGATCACAGTGATCTCACGGATAAGGATGTAAGGCTCTTTTTTAAAAATCAAAATAATCTTCAAAATAATCCTGAAATGGTACCAGTGTTTCTGAGGTAAAGTATCCAGAGACACATGACATAATATAGTTTGCTTTCTTGATGCCATCATGTTTTTATTCTAAATAGAATGGGACTGGAAGCTTTGGTAGAGTCTTATGCGTTCTGGAGACCTTCACTGAGAACACTGACCTTTGAAGATATACCTGGGATACCCAAACAAGGTAACTGTCTTTTTCATATTCTTTCAAAACAAAAAAAAATTAAGATAAAGCTTTGCCCATTATGCTATACAAAACTCTAGGTAATTGTGTCTCTTGCAGAGAAAAAGCAGTCAACCACCCCCAGTGCAGGCCATCACCTCTCATGAGTTATTTTAAGGTAGAAAACTAATGCTAACTTACCAGCTGAGGCAATAAAAATACTAGGTTTTAAAGATAAATCAATCACTTGTGGAGGAGAGCTCCAGTTATTTAATGATGGAATAACCTATTCCTTAGTGTTATGCTGTGGCTAGATACACAAAGTAAAGTTTATTTATAGATCACTTCTATTGTACACATTCCAATGAAGGAACTAGTTGTGTGTTTAAGAGAAAAGAAAGAATGAGAGAAGAAATATCCTCTTAAGTAATAGTAGCAAATAGGAGCAAGCTTAATTGAGTTTCTTTCTTGGAAAGCTTTCTTGATTCTTAAAGACCTAAAAATTGTTCAGTAAAGTCCAAACAAACTTTAGCTGCATCCTAGAGCTTGAAAAATTGGACCTCCTTCCATTTTGCTTTTTCCTGCTCCCCAGTTTGTAACCTCTTGGTTTCCACTTTCCCCATCATAGAGATAGTGCTGTGCAAGAAGCCTGTTCAGACAGACAGATAAGTCTCTGAACTCTTTTCTCAATTCCTTTATTTCCAAAGTACCCCAACGCATACAGAAAATCTCTTGGCCTTTGCCCAACTAAATCAGACACATTATTCCTGGTTCTTCACATTTTCTGCTATCAGATTTACAAACATCCTACCTGCTTTCTTGATAATATATTGCAAAGTCGCTAAATATCTTGGCAGCAAAAATCTAGAAAATACAGTAATACACAGAAATTGCTGTTGTCAACTTCTCCTTAGCCTATTCCTTTGAGAAATCTTCAGCATCAGTGCTTGATGTGGGCAATTACAAAATTTTGTGCCAAGACATAGATACATTGGATGAAGATTGGCAGGATTTTGGGCAGAGCATGGGGGTGAGATGAGCCTCATAAAAAAGGCCTGTAGTGAGAAGTCAGCATCAGACCTGAAATACCTTGTCAGACTAAAATGCAACTCCCTATGAAGTTAACCCATCTAGGAGACAGACCAGCTGTACTGCCCTCTTTGTATGTAGCAACACTATTTGAGAGTAGAGGAACTGCTGCCATAAACTTCCTGCTTCCATTTCTGCTGTCGCCTGACATTAAGGAGCTTGTTGAAGTTGCTGTTGATGTTCAGAGGATGTGAAATCTTTAGTCACCTATACCTTGGACAGTAGGGTGGTTTAGAGAATTGCTGAAAGATCCCATTAGAAATTTGTCCTGGTTGTTGGTGCTGGAAGTGGCCATTTTCAGGTAGTAGAGGCACTGACATAGATCAGAAGAATAATAAGTATGCCGTACACCAGTATTTCTGTAATGTGGCAGTGTCTTATGGTGCTTTGAGCTTGTGGTGTCCTGTCAACAGAACAGAGGCAGAGTTCACTTATGATGTATTTCACTTTTTATTAGCTCAGCTGTCACGAAAACCTGCTAACAGTGTGTGTCTCTTTGCAGCATCAAAGATTTTGATTGTTTGATTGTTAATGTGGTTCACAAAGTGGAGAGTCTTCCTTGTTAAGTGCCTTCTGCCTCAGAGACTGTGAAAAGCCCAAATTAGTTTTCTGTGCTCTTTTTTTGGGAGATAAAATATCTAAGAAAAGAAAGTATTTCTTGTAGTTGGTAGTCTTTCAGTCGTGAGAAAAGGCTTCACCTGTAGCAAGCAGTGTGTTTTCAGGAGCATTCAGCACTGGTATTTGTTATATTCTGATATCAAGTTCTGATATCAGTAAATGAACAGCTTGCAAACAGCTTGCTGCAAACCTAAATCTTCACCTACCTGTTCAAGAAATGAAGCAGCTGTGCACAGTATTCAGCCTGTGCTTTTCCTGAAGTTGTTCTGAAGTTTTGTTCTCAAGTATTTTTCATCTGAAGTTGGAAGTTTTTTTTGTTCTGAAGTTCTACTCCGAAGTTGTGAACTTTCCTGAAGCTGTTGAACTGTGGGAGCTTGAGCTAAGGATCCTCTTCCTTAGCTGGTGCTCTGACAGTGATAGTGCCTGAAACGCACTCCAGGGTGTAGCATGGGCATAAGCAACACAAGTCTTCATCTTGAAGAAGGCTACCTGGGGTGTGATACTCAACTTGGCTACATCTTAACTGCCATACCATTCTCTTCCAGTGTCAATGAGTAATTAATATTTTGGGCAGAAGCTCTCAGTATTGAGCAATGGGTGCAAAAGCATAACTTCTGTCCTCTTTCTTGGCCAGGTTGTTTCTTTAAAAATACACATGTGCCATGCACCCTATCCCCTCTCACCCCCCATGTGTGTACAATATTTTTTGAATGAATGCGAGTCATGTTTCATGTCAAGGGTTGTTATAGAAGGCAAAGGTTTTGTTCTGTCACCTAGGAAGTGAACCTTTCCCAACATGCTTCTTACTCTGTAATGTTCTTTTCCAGGAAATGCAGGTTCCTCTACTTTGCTCCAGGGATCTGGCACTGGAGTGCCATCTACCCACCCTCACCTTTTACCGGGTTCCCCTTGCTCATCTCCAGCCTTCCACCTCAGTCCCAACACTAGCCAGCTCTGTAGCCTTGCTCCAGCTGACTACACAGCTTGTGCCCGGTCAGGCTTGACCCTGAACAGATACAGCACTTCTTTGGCTGAAACTTACAACAGGCTCACAAACCAAACCAGTGAGACATTTGCACCCCCAAGGACTCCCTCCTATGTTGGTGTGTCAAGTAGCACAACTGTGAATATGTCTATGAGTGGCAATGATGGGGATGCATTCAGCTGCCCGCAGACTGGCTTATCTATGCAGATTTCAGGGATGTCTCCACAGCTCCAGTACATCATGCCATCCCCATCCAGCAATGCCTTTACCACTAATCAAACCCACCAAGGCTCCTACAACACGTTTAGACTGCACAGTCCCTGTGCGCTCTATGGATATAACTTTTCCACATCCCCTAAACTGGCTGCCAGTCCTGAGAAAATTGTTTCTTCCCAAGGAAGTTTCTTGGGGTCCTCACCAAGTGGAACCATGACGGATCGGCAGATGTTGCCCCCCGTGGAAGGAGTGCACTTACTTAGCAGTGGGGGGCAGCAGAATTTCTTTGACTCTAGGACCCTAGGAAGCTTAACACTCTCGTCTTCTCAAGTGTCTGCACATATGGTTTGATGAAACCTTTAAGTAAAAGTACAGTATGTTAGTGTCTACAATATATTTCTTTCGCAATATGAAAGGACACTCGGTGTAGCTTGTAAAGTGTGTGTATATATATAATATGAGAGGAAGTTTCACTGAATTTTTTACTTGTTTGTGGCCAGATTATTCTCCTATTTTGTGTTACACAGAATTTTCTGTGGCGTAGACTGCTTTAGTTTTCTGGTATAATACCCTTAGTTGTATAACACGTTGGGACATATGCAACAAATTAAGTAAGACTTCCTCCCCTTTCCCCCTCCTCTGTTCTAACCCCTTTAAAGAATGAAATAACACTTGGAGTATTAAACAACACAGACAAGCCCACTTACACTTCCTAGAGTACTAGTGAGTTTCTTTTAAAACATTGACACGATAAGCTGATGCACCAAAGGCATTTTACAAGTTTCTTCTCTGTTACAAGGGATATGAAGGGTATTTGGACTTTTAAGTGTTAAGAATCAAACATCCAGCCTAAAATAGAAGTTTAGCTAATGGATTATTTACAAAGTAAACAGAAAGATTAGCTTGCCTTCTCATGATACACTGTTTTCAGCTTTTCAATGGCACATCATTCTTGCTAGGATTTTCTTTCAGCATTAGCCTACACTTATGATTAGGTATTTGAAGATAAATAATGCGTATTCAGATAGTGGTGAATGGAGTAGTTTAAACCGACAGCAGAAGAAGAGGCATTCCTTAGTACAGAATGAACTTCGGTGTGCTTAATTTTTGTCAAAGGAAGGGCTTGATGCATTTTTTTTCCTGAATAAATATTGCCTATAAGACATTTACTGGACAGTAGGATAATCTAATGTATCTTTGGTTTTGTATTTTTACTTTTTTTAAAGGAAAATGCAGGTTTGCTTGGAGGGGGGGGGGAAGGCAAGGAGGATGAGAAGTTTCATTATTGATTTTACCCATCTCTGTGTGTGTTGTGTTTGGTTTTGTTTGTTTTTTTTTTGTGTTTGGTTTTGTTTTTTGTTGCTTGTTTTTTTTTTTAATAAAGGCAAAAAGTGCTCCACCCCCAATATCTCATAAATACACTGCCTGTACCAATTAGGCAGATGATCTTCTTTTCTCGCAAGTGTTTCTGGAAGCAGAACTTTGTGGCAGCTGCCACCCTGCTATTCTGTTTCATAGTAAGTTTTTGCCCTGGAATTGGAAAGGTTCACTTCCCAGTGGCGCTTGTGAGAACAGAGATCTTGACCTGCTCCTGACCAGGCTTCTCCAGAGTGACAAGGACATGGGTAGACACTTGTCATGGTGAAATTTCTGCCCTCATCTGCACCTGCACAGCCCTGGTGTGTATCATCCTGCTGCAAAAGCTGCCTCTCAGCTACCCTCCTGTCAGAGCTGAAACACGGAGGTTGTGAAGCAGATTTTCATGCTTGAGAGAACAAGTCATCTTCAACAGTGTGCTAAGTCCTTTATGTTGTGCAGGTGATGTAAAGGCATTATAAAGTGGGTACAAATGTAGTTGAAAATTCTTCCCAGGTCAGTATTGAAGGAGAATAAGGCCTTTCATATTTTATGTCTTTCTCTGTTAGATTTTTCTTTTTTTCTTTTTGGTGAAGGTGGATTATGTTTCTCAAGAGTTCCTATGTCTTTTCTGGCAAACAGTGGTCTCAACCACTCCCACTTCAAGAAAGACTCATTGCAGCTAATATTTCTTCAGTGGGAAGGAGATAATGAATGCAGAAACAGTCCTCTCGCTATCTTCTTTTAGTATTTGGGAACAATAGAGAAACCACAGCGTACTTGAAGCCTGTGCCAGGAGAAGGCTTTATTTCTATAAGTTACATTTTTGTTTATGTTAAAGAAGACACGTAGGAAGTTCTTATCCAAAGCTGGAAAGACAGGAGGATGCAATTGATATGTGGGTTTGCTTCTTTGCTGTCTCAAAGTGACCTTGGGCAATTCACTCAGCCTCTCTGTATCTAACTTTTTTCTTTTGTAAAATGTGGTAATAGCACTTCTCTGCCTCACAGGAAAGGGTGACAGTACATTGAAGATGGAGATCATCTTTACAGCTACTGTACTGTGGACAGTACATTGCAGACGAATGCCTAGGTAGTGTACATATATGAGAGTAACAAAGAGGTCTGTTGCTAGTTTTGGCATTGCAGTGTCATTTGAGGCAGACCTTCTAGCAAAACCATGTGATGCTAAAAATGCTGTTCAAAAACCTCACACTTGTGATCTGTGGAAGGGTTCTAAGATGTGTAGAAGATGAGCAACATTTTAGTTATGTGAATTGTCATAGCTCTGTTGGTTTAAATTAACAAGAAATGTGTGTGCTCTAGCCAAAACTTTGAATGTTGCAGTTGGATAAATCTTCAAATGAGAGGCACAGTACAATTAGTCTGTACTTGAAAAAGGATAATTTTCCATGTCATTCTAGAGGATGTGACTAGGTAGAAACGTGGAAGAGCTAAATCATGCATGTTCCTGCAAAGGAAAAAAGAAGTTTGTGCATGGATGTTCATGGAGGTACTCCTGGCAACAGTATGTGCTTCATCACCTGGGAATTCTTTAGAACTGGTCTCTTATTTTTCCTCAAATTATTCTTATCATATAACCACACAATATTGTTTGAAAAACTTGTTCCTTTAAATTTGAATCATATTGTAAATACTTAACTGGTGTGTCATTGTGAAAAGACTATCTTTTTATCAATATAGTAAATGCTATATATGCATTATATCTATAAGTATCTGTATTTTACAAAAATGCCACAGAAAATATATTAAAGTGTGTATCCAAACACTTTTTACTGCATTTGGAAAACTGAGGGACTTGAGCCTTTTTTCTTTCCTCTACAACTTCAGCAAGATCAAAGGAAATGACTCTAAGGTAAGCTCTGAACTTCAGATACAAGAAGCTGCAGGGATCTCGCTAGTCCACAATTTTTACATGGTTCAGTTTAACCTTATGTCGTTGAACCTCTTTATTATTTGTATGCAAAGGTCATGACAGATGTTGGGTACAAGGAGATGCTGAGGCTGATAGCAGAGCCCTGAGGTTTTTATGTGGGAAGAGGAGATGGAGCAGCTTGCTAGGCTCATTAGCCAGTAATGGAACTTTGCTGATTGCTCATAGCCCAGCTTATCCCAGCTGCAAAGACAGTTGCTGCCCTATATCAACCAGATCTGGGAAGTTAGTACTTCCGTGTGACCAGGCGCTTGAGCCACCCTGTATATTTTCTCTCTGTGCTGTTATTTTGGTCATTCCCTCTCTGTGCTGCTGCTTCTAAATACAAAAATCCACTGATTCCTAAAGGCGCAATTCACAGCCTTTAATCAGCTGGGTACACTGTAACAGTGAGCAACACTTCTTCCTCCCCCCCCCCCCTCCCCCCCCCAACCCCTGAAATACTGTTATGCATAGTAGTCTTATTTCCTATTGTACTGTACTAAATGTTTCCATGTGATGTAGGGCACAGAGCCTGAAAATCTGATTGCTTTAGAGACTAGGCTTTCATAGTCACTTAACACCAGCATTGTTGCAAATGACCAGAATTAGGGCAAGAGAAGTAGGCATGAAATGCTTGATCATAAATATCAGACCTCAAGAGAGAAGGAAAGCTTCTGTTTTTAATAAGAGAAGAGCCTTTTCTTTTTTTTTTGGAATAGCATAATCGGACTCTTGAGAGAGCTCATTTCTGCTTCAACAGAGGACGACAGGAAAAACTTGAAAATCATGGACATTGTTGGCATCAATGCTAGCAAGTCTGTACTAAGAGCAGTTCAACAGAAGGAACTTAAATCATTGTTAGAAGTAGCTCAGAGATTCTGTGGGTATGTTTTTCCTGTAAAGATAATATATCTAATTAGTTTGTATAGAGATGTGTTTAAAAATGCTGAAGGGTAGCTACTTGTAGAAGTTCATGTACCAACTTCACATACAGAATTAGTATTTTGTTGCACTCTTTTGAATACACTGTCAAACTTTCATGGCATTAATGTTTAAATTTACTACACAGGTTTAAATTTACTTCAAAGTACCAAGTTTTTATCTCAATAACTGCTATTTATCACGATGAGCTAATGGTCTTTGAGGGCTGACTGCACTTCAGCTGACAAAATATATTGACTTGTCAGTTGAGCTCTTCATTAATTTTAGCCTCAGATTCAATATTTTGCCTTTTATTTAACACAAATTTGATATGTTAATTTAATATATGCAAAACTACAGGAAAATTCATGTTCTGCCTTATGTTCCACCAAATTCCTCAGCTACCCAGTTAATTCAAAGTTCTCATCTACCAAGATGACACACTCTTGTAAAAAGTGAACATTTCTAGAGAATTCACCTTGGTTTAAATGTTCTTTTTTGTCAGTGGTGTCCTATCCATGCTTTGAAAAGATGTTTGTTACCCAAAAACACGTAAGACCTATGAAGTCACCACTTTTTCAAAGCAGTGTTGAATTTGCTATAAAACTATTTCAGAGAATTTGATGCCCAGAGCCCTGACAGCGGTTCCAGCAAATGAGAGTCTGAATCTCATGGATGTGGAGAAAGATACAGCCCTCAAATAGGGATAGTTTTATCTATTTTAAATATTAGATCTGAATCCTCTTAATCTGAAAAGGCTAATATTGAAGCTTTAGACAGGAATTTTCTAGGTCTTTCCTTGCCAAACTTACCCTGCTGCAGGCTGGTTGAAAGCCTGTCCCTTCTTGAAATATCACTTCTTCAGTTGCTCCCCTCTTTTAGGCTCTGTGCATGCAAAAGTACTAGACAGGTTGCATGGGAAGAGGTCATTGCTTACTCCACTGATAGTTATTACCCTGAAGTATACTTCTACAGCAAAGACTCATTACCCACAGAGAAGTAAATAACCCTACTAGATGTCAGCCATGGTATTTATATCAATTTTAGAATGTGGAATCCGTAAAGTAAACATTTTTAAGAATCATCAGTAAGTCAAAAGATCAGTACTGCTATAAAGAAAATACAACTCTCCTGAAATTGATTTGCCTGTTGTCTAATGTTCAGAGGTTTGTGACCCTTAAATAATTGATATCTCACATCTTTCAGTCCATCAGAATCAACACTAAACCTCCAGAAGCTAGATCTATTTTCAGATTTTTGCTTTGTGGCCTTTCGAAACATTGGAGGTAATGCCCAAGTTTCAAGACATATGCTTGGGCTCCAATTCTGTGGTAAGGAGTGCCAGGAGAAATGGAGGTGGCAGAAATGGATCATGTAATCCCACCATACATCTAGGAAATGTCACAGGTACTGTGATGATGCCCACAATGTGTAGTTCTTTCAAAATGTATCTTAGGGCACTTCTGATAGGAGTTGATAGACTAAAGGACTGACATCAAAAGATAGTCAAGAAATATATTATATGAAAAGACTTGTGCTACCCAAAAGCTGGGCTATTGCAGTGAATGTGGCTATAGCCACTTCAGCTATGCTTTGCCTTCATGTTCATTTGCACATCACCAGTTTTTCTTTGGATGCAGAGCCAAGAGTAAATCCAAAGCATATTGGAGGAAACCTGGATCTCACTGTGGCCAGTGGTAATGTTGCCCCTGACTTGAGCTTTTACCATGTTTTCAGACCCAAAGCCATCCCTTTCTGTTGCACTTTACCCAGGCAGCAGCTGTAGTCACCCAGGGATGTTCCTCTGGCTCTTTTAGGTGTTTTTCAGGTGGATAACTGACTTTGCATTTCACGCTTCATACTTTGTTTTTAAGTCTGTGCTCCTGCAGATTCTGAGACACAGTCTGTCTCACACTGAAAGATAAGACAAGGCTGGAACTTGGTGCTCCCTCCCCCTGAAAGCCTTGCGGATGGATGGTGTATTCCCTTCCACTGCAGATAATTGACTATATATTTACCACAATGTTTTTATTGTATTTTACAGAGAAAAGTAATAAAAACAGAGTCTGTATCACACTCAAAGCAGTGTTTCCATCCCTCAGGCAATATTTTTCACTAACCCAAAGG